AAAGAAGCTGAACTGTTTCTTAGCCTGAGTCAAATACTAATTCAGTAGTGTTCCCAAATTTGTTGTGGGGTATGAATTCTCTCAAGGGCTAACAAAACCATATCAGAATATAAGCTTTTAAAGACTATTTGCCAAACAGATATCTGAGGATTAGTTGCCCTTTGAGACTCTTCTGTGCTGTTGTCACAGGTAGTGAGCACTATTAGGTTTGCCTCCCCAGCATTCATTCCAACCCTCCTGATACCAGACAGCAAAGTTTGGGAGAGACTGACCCACTCCCCACCCTGGGCGTGGACCAATCAGTGTAATCTCTCCCAACCCAGGGACTGGTTCAGGAATGGGCAGTACCCTGGGTCTAAAATGCAAGGCATTTCCTGACCACAGTGGCTGTTCAAGTTGGTTCAATCTAGAGCTTTTGTTCATTGGGGGAAAAGGGACCCCTTAGCCTTTCATAAAGATGACACTGTAGCTGTTCCTGACCAACTGTCTGCAACTATGCAGGAAGCCTATACAAAGCTGAGAGGATGGCAAAATTCTGATCAAACCTAGGGGCAACTGAAGTCCAAACTACCTTCTGGACTTCTCTGTTACATAAGCAAATACATTTCTGTCATCATTAAAACCAATTTGAGTTAGATCTAATGGTGCTTTAGCATTTTGACTGTAAAGCATGGATAATAAAAAATAATTTAGTGCTTCATCATACAAAATGATCTATCATACAAGTGCCTCATTTAAGAGAAATTCAGAAAAGTGACAGACTCACTGGTAGTATTCCAGGACGGGCTCTGTTTGGGCTTCGTAAGCCTTCAGTCTTTTGACAACTGTCTCTGGTCTATCATCCTCACGCTGAACAAGAGGTTCCCCAGTCAGATCATCAATGCCCTAAACAGGAGTTAGAAGACACTAGCATCAATAATACCATAGTTTTTAAGATTTTTATAGGTAGTTCAGACAGACATCTTATCTGTGCAAGCACCAAGCACAAAAATGTGCTTTTAAATAAATAGAATCAAATCCAAACCCAGGTCATTTCAACACAGAGCTATAAGACCCCAGGATCATTTCCACAGTGTCAGTCACCTTCTCCTTAGAGCAAAGGGTTTTCTAAGTGGTCTCTAAATATTTTCATATTATATATGTGCGAATACGTGTGTGTGTTTGTGTATGTGTGTGTGTATACATACACAGATTCAGCTACAGACTAGGAATTTCAGCTACAAGACCTAAATAAACCAAGCTAATCCCCACTGCCCCAACTTATAACACGCTCCCTAATGCAGAGTAGGAAATCAATCAATGCTTCTAAAGGAATAACAAATTCCTGTTGCTCCTGGGGACGCCTTTACTACTAAGCTAACTGGACTAGCCTAGCTGACTACACCAAGTACCCTGAAAATATGCCCTCAGGAGTTCTGGTCATCTAAGGGTATCCAAAGCCATCTGTGAGGGCAAGAGGTCTGGAAACCATCGACTACGTGGAAGGCAGAGTCAGTTCCAACACAACTACTCACCATGGTTTTGGGAGGGTTGAATTCAAGGTTGTAGACGCGGCCGCTGCCTGGATGGATCCAGCGAGCTGTGAGGCGCTGCTTGATAACCTCAAAGGGCACATTCAGATTAATCACTGTGTCTATCTGATGAGCTCTATCCAGGGCTTCTGCCTGTGGAAGTGTCCTTGGAAAGCCTTGAGAAATTAAAAAAAATGAACAAAGGAAGAAAGGGAAGAAGGAAGAAAATTCGTTAACATTGAGCAATCTGAACATAAGCAATTAACACCAGAAGATGGCTGGCCCAAAACACCAGGGTGGTAAATAGTAGCTCTCAGGCCCCCTGCCCACCACCTGGGATGTCTGTAGCCTGTGAAATGCTCACTCTCCTGTCTGCACACATCATTTTGGGTACCTGAAATATTCTCAATATTCCACTTACCATCCAACAGCCAGCTATACCGGGTGAGATTTTTCAACTCATGAAGGACCAACCGAGTCATGACATCATCTGGGATGAGCTTCCCTTGATCAATGAAAGTCTTGGCTAACACACCAATTTCTATAGCAGAGGCAGGAAAAAATGCAAATCAGCAAGAGCATTTATTTGTTCTGTCCCATTCTAGGCCTCGGGGAACCTGTTTGCCTAAAGAAGACCTCTGGGTAGCACACTCAGATGAAAATATGCATCATCAACTTTTGTGATAAAAACAGAGGGAACAAAATAATCTGCCTATTTCAAAATTTCCGTTATGTCAAAATATGTAAACGTAAAAATAATGGAAAGCTATAGACCAATATGTTAACAGTAGTCATTTCTGTGTGATAGAATTGTGATTTTTTTTTTACATAGTTGCACTTTTCTGTACTTTCTAAATTTTCTATCAGAAAAAAAAATATATATAAGGGGGAGGGAAATAGCTCAGTGGTAGTGCCTGCTTAGCATGCATGAGGTCCTGAGTTCAATCCCCAGTACCTCTATTAAAAAAAAAACACAAAAGCAGCAGCTAAAAAAAAAAGAAAAATATTGAGAAAAAAATATATAGACTAACTGAAATTATTTTTTTTTAAAAAGAAGTTGAAATAATCATTATTTTAAGTGGCTCAGTTTAAGTGCCTGCAATCATGTTACTGTAGAGCTTTTTCTTATCCTCTAAAATAGATCCTGCCGTCACAATTCAGTTTTTGACCAGATTAGCACCATAATTATGTTACATTTTTATTAATAAAACACCATGGAAAAGAATTTATGAACAATCTAAACATATTACCCAGGGGGGTGGGGTATAGCTCAGTGGTAGAGAGCATGCTTAGCATGCACGAGGTCCTGGGTTCAATCCCCAGTACTTCCATTAAATAAATAAATGAATGAATAAATGAATAAATAAATAAATATATTAAATCTAATTGTCTCCCCGCCAAAAAAATAAAAATATTACCCACAACTAAATGTCATTCTTACACGATAGTATTTTAATTCCTCATCAACTCTTACCAAACTATTTATATATATTCCAAATTATAATACCACTGTAATAATCTGTGTACTTATAGTTTTGTGTTCTTTTTTCACTTAGTATCATTGTGTAAATACTTTTCAGTGATTTTATATATTCATTTAGTCATTTTTGGTAACTGTAATACTCCATAAATATATATCTATGTTATATCTCTCTATATATATATTTATATATTTATATAGATATATACGCACTCTATCACGGCAGTACACACTGTTGGTCATTTAAACTCTTTAAATTAGTCTTGATTTTTCCCTATCACTGCTGCTTTTAAAGATCTTAACACTCTTTTTCTTTTCCTTCTTTCTTTTTTTTGCGGGGGTGGGGGTGCTTCTAAGTTATTTCTGATGGATAAATTCTCAGGAGTCAGAGATAAAAAGAGCAAAAGTTTATGACTGTTTTCATAATTCTTGGTATGAGTTGACATACTGACTTCAGAACAGATTCTATATTGTCAAATCCGTGAAACTTTGGATTTCTAACTAAGCACATTACTTGCATGAAAACTGGCTGCCATTTGACAGGTGTACTGCCAGGGTTTCCAAACAGCTTCTGGAAGAGGCCCTAAGTTCCGAGAGCACTCAGGACTCACTAAAATGCCCTCTTGGAAAGGTCCACAAACATATGTGTGCACCTCTGTCATCAGGATTCTGACCACTGCTCTGGGGGACATAGAGCTCCAACTTATTTACAGTGTTTGGGAGAAAACTTGGAATTCTCCAGGGCTGAGTCCGCAAAACTGCTATTGGACCCTCCCCTCCCTTTTCACTCTTCAGGCCAAGCCCTCTTCTAAACCCCCAACTAATGGCAACAAAATGGATTGACAGGGGATTAATAAAGTACTTAATTTCATATTAAGTATAAGAATAGCCTTAGGAAAAGATGATCTGTTCTTGCCACTTCAACATTGTACCATAGACTGCAGCCAAGTCAATCAGTCCAGAAAAAGAACTAAAAGACATCCAGAAAGGAACAGGTAAAATAATGTATTTGCAGATGATATGATCTTGTATATAGAAAATCCTAAGGAATCTACTAAAAAACTATTAGAACTAATAAATGAGTTTAGCAAAATTGCAGGGTACAAGATCAACAGTATGTAAAAATGAACAATACGAAAATGAAATTAAGAAAATTCCATTTACAACTGTGTCAAAAAGAATAAAAAACTTGGCAATGTACCTTTTAAAAAAAGTACAAAACTGGTAGTCTGAGAACTACAACACTGTTGTTAGAAACTAAAGACATAACTGAATGGAAAGGCAGCTCATATTCATGGATTTGAAAAGTTAATATTAAGATGGCAATATTCCCTGAAAATGATCTATAGATTCAATGCAATCCTATCAAAATTCCAGTTGGTGTCTTTGCAGAAATTGACAAAATGACTGTAAATTTCATATGGAAATACAAGGGACCCAGACTAGCTGAAACAATCTTGAAAAAGAAGAACTGTGTTGGAGGGCACACACTTTAGATTTCAAAAGACTGTTGGAACTATAAAGATAGACATACAGATTAATGGAACAGAATTGAGAGCCCAGAAGGAACCCCTTACATTTACGGTCAATTGATTTTCTACAAGGATACCAAGACAGTTCCCTGGGGGAAGGAATAGTCTTCTCAATAAATGGTGCTGGGACAACTGAATATCCATCTACAAAATAAGTTAGGTTAGGTGGACCTGTACCTAACACCATATAAAAAAATTAACTCACTATGTATCATAGACCTAATTGTAAGAGCTAAAACTACAAAACTCTTAACTGGACTTCATTAAAATTTCACACTTTCATGCTTCAAAAACACCATCACAAAAGTGAAAAGACAATCCACTGAATGGGAGAACATTTCTGTAAATCATGTATCTAATAAGGAACCTTTATCTAGAGTATCTAAAGTAATGTTACAACTCAACAATAAAAAGACAACACATATTTTTTAAAAGGGCAAAGGATCTGAATACAAAAAGCAGATACACAAATGGCCAATAAACACTTGGAGAGATGTTCAACATCATTAGTCATTAAGGAAATAACAAGTGGAAACCACAGTGAGTTACCACTTCACACTCACCAGGCTGGCCATAATCAAAAATACATAACAAGGGTTGACAAGAATGCTGAGAAACTGAAACCCCTACACAATGCTGGCAGGATTATAGATGGTATAGCCAAATGGGAAAACAGTGTGGCAATTTTTCAAAAGGTTAAACAGAGTTAAATGACATAGCAATTCCACTCCTAGGTTTATTTTTCAAAAGAAATAAAAACATAAGTTCACATAAAAACATGTATGAAATGTTCAAGGCAACATTATTCACAATAGCCAAAAAGTGGAAACAACCCAAATGTTTATCAAATGACAAGTGGATAAATAAAATGTGGTATACTCATAAAATTATCTATTTAGCCATAAAAAAGAAGTACTGATACACGTTACAAAGTGTATGAACTCTGAAAACATGCAAAGTGGAAAAATCTAGACACAAAAGCCAGACATAATTCCATTTAGATGAAACGTTCAGAGTAGGCAAATCTATAGAGACAGAAGGAAGGTCAGTGGTTGCCCAGGGCTGGGAGCATGGGGGAAAATGAGGAGTGACTGCTAACGGGAATAGGGTTCCTTTTGGGGTAGAAAAAAGTCCTAAAATTGGTTGTGGTGATGGCTGCATAATTCTGAATAGGATAAAAAACAATGAATCATACTTTAAGAGGGTTAATTTATGGCATGTGAATTATATCTCAATAAAGATGTTTAAAAAAAGGGAAAGATGAAAAATACCGAGTAGGCAAAACAAAAGAAAAAGCCACTCACAATCCCAACACTACTCAGAGACAATTATCATTAAAACTGTTAATATTAAAAACGTCCAAATATTTTGTTTCGTGACTAGATAGTCCTATGCATAGTCTAATAATCTTTTTCATTATCATTAATAAATTTCTATATCAAAAAACATTTATTTATAAAAATTATTAAAATCTGAAGCCTGTCATGCTTCATTTAAAGGAAAAATAAAAAAAGATTCAACTCTATGTCAAAGTCTAAGCCATTTGTTTATTACATTTCAAGTTTTTACCCACTTCCAAAATTATGCAAGAATTTGTCCAGCATATTTTTTGAACATTTAGTAAATTTTTATTCCCTTGACTGCCTATCATTTAATACTGTATATAAATAGACTCCTCATTAAAAAATGATTTCCTTTTAGATTCAAAAAAGTTAATTTGGGAGCTTCCAGACCTACAAAACACAAAAAGCTAGTTTAGATGCTGATTTTTTTTTTTTGGTAGGGGGGAGGTAAATTAGGTTTACTTATTTATTTATTCTTAGAGGACTGAACCCAGGACCTCATGCATGCTAAGCATGCACCCTACCACTTGAGCTATACCCTCCCCCTACAAAGGAACTAGTTTAAACGTGTATTATTCAAAATAAACTAATCTATAAAGTTACACACAAATAAAAATGGAAGAGGAAGGTTAAAGGAAAACAGGGAAGGATTAAAACTAACGTCTAATTTTAAGGATAATAATCAAATTCTAAAACATGGAAACATTAATCTGAGAGATGGTGTTTGTATTATATAAAAAGCCATTTTTAATTCTGTATCTCCTTTTAATGTCTGGTCATTCTTATAACACTACCCAAACCAACCACACCTCATATCTGAGTAAGCTGGAAACAAAATTGTCTGAGCAAGTATGAAGTACAAAAGAGAGGCCTGACCAACTGTAAATACAGTTCTCTTCAATATATGCCAAGAGAAAGGGCTACAGAGAATTAACCTAGTTCCTGCCAAAATTGCTTTTAACATTGTTATAACATACATAAAATTTTAATAACACGTTTAAGCAAAACAAAATAAAACTAGAAGAACTAGAGGGAATGAGTCAAATGATAGCTTTACACCCAATCAAGGGCTTAAAAAAAAACTTTCTCAAATAATTAGAGGCTCTGAGTCAACACAGTGGTTACCGCTAGGGGACAGGAAGGAGATGTGATGGGTGGGCATAGATGGGGACCCCAAAGAACTGGTGGGCAAATAAGTATTCATTTTATTCTTCTTCTAACCATCATACAAATTATAATACCTTCATGCATGGGATATTTCATGAGAATTATATACTGAAAATCAAAACCTCCCTTGACATTGGTCCTCCCTCCAACCATCACCCAATCTGACTCCTCTTCAGTGAAGAACCTAGAAAGAATTCCTATTCCAGGTCTACAGTCCTCCCATCCCTACTCTGCTTCAGGACAAAATCTCAACTAAGAACTATACAAAAGCCCAAGTGGCTCTGGCCTCGTCTTAACTCTCCCCCACTTACCTTCCTGCCATTTGCACCCCACCCTCAAACCATGGCCGCAGCAAGAGCCCCGCATACTCTGGGTCCTCCTAGTCTTTGCACAAGCTTCTTTCCCCCCTCTGTTGTCTGATAAGCTCTCACTCATCTTTCAAGATACATCTTAAGGGGCCCTTCATGGTGCGGTGTCCTTGAACCTCCAAGGTAACCAAAGTTTCTCCTCTGAACTTCTGTAATGTCACAGACTGGTCTCTGTTGGAGCATTTATCACACTGCTGAAACTATCTATTTACACATTGGTATGGACTGAATTTTGTCCCTTAAAATCTATATGCCCAAGCCCTGACCCCCAGTGTGGCTGTCTTTAAAAATGGGGCCCTTAAGGAGGTACTTAAGGTTAAATGAGGTCATAAAGGGGGACCTTAATCCAATGTGACTGGTGTCCTTATAGAAGAGGAAGAGACATCTGGAATGTACACAACAGAGGAAAGGCCACATGAGGACACAGTGAGAAGGTGGCCATTTGCAAGCCAGGAAGAAAAGCTGCACCAGAAACCAACCCTGCTGGCACTTTGATCTTGGATTTCTAGTCTCCAGAACTAGGAGAAAATAAATTTCTACTGTTTAAGCTGCCTGGTCTGTTTTACTCTGTTATGGCAGCCTGAGTAAACTACTGGCCACCTGCCTACCCATGTTCTGATTGTGAGCACCTCCAGTGAAAGATTTGTCCCTGTATCTCCAGTATCCAGCACATACTGGGTGCCTGACAAATTCACGGATGGATGGATGGAGAGAAGAGCTGCCTGGATTATCCTGGATTCTAGCCATGGAATTGTTAAGTGGTCTAACTTATTTTGTTTGAAAAAAAAAAAGAAATGGAGCAATCCTTATGGAAAGCAATATTGTTAAACGTAGAAAATACTATATACAGTTTACTATCACTTGTATAAAAAAGAAAACAAAAAAACAGACAAGAGGTAAACAGTGGATTATATGTCCATGAAATAGCTCTGGAAGGATCTTTTCACTAAATTTCCTTTTGGAATTCCAAACCATGTAAATGTATTGCCTATTACAAATAAAAAATTTTGCCATTGCAGAAACATTATGCTCTACTGTTAGTATCACTCTAATTAGGCACATCTATGCTGCATGGGTGTATATAATAGAAGTTATGTTAGACATACATACAGAATCTTGAGAGCCGACAGAGGCTTTGAGGATTACCTCTTGAGCTCAATTCCCCAATTTACAAATGAGGACAAATGAGATTCAAAACGGGTAGTCATCTAGTCCAGGAGTATGTCTTTGAGAAGCGCTAACCTGCAGTGCAGTTTCTCAAACTTTGGGCAATCATACGGCAACCTTACAATCGCTGCCATAACTGAACTATTATTTCCTATTTTCTTCAAATGATTCAGTTTTTCAATTTAATAAGCTATAATGTTCATGAAATTAAAGGACTGTGCCAGTTATTATTTTTCAAATATACTTTGAAATAAAAATTTTTATTAATTTTTTAATTTGAACTTTATTTTTGAGATTAAAAATTTTTTCTCTATCTGAAATTATCTCATGAATCTCAATTAGGGAAATACTGCATAATGGAAAGAGTAATTTAACTGGCATACAAGGAGATTTGGGTGTTCACCCTTGTCTCCCAGTAACTACTGTTTATTATTGAGCAAGTTCTTTAACCTCTCTTGAACTCAGTTTCCTCATCTTCAAATATGAGGGCTGGACTAATGACAAAGGGACAGACTCAAGTTCCCTGACTCCAGAGTTCAGTGATCATCTACAGTTACTTCAGGTTTGCTGCCGTCAACAGGTTGCCTCATAATTCCAGTGTCTTTATCACATCCGCTGGGGTGCTTTTAAACTTTACCTATAAAATACAGCACCATCATGAAACAGTGGTTGGAAAGTAAATTGACACTGTCCTTCCTTAGCAGTACTTGATGGTACCATGCTTATAGAAATTCCACACTAGGGGATTTATTTAAAGAAAATAAGTAGAGACGTTGCCAAATGTTCATGTGCAAGCATAGTCATAACAGTATTAATTATAGCAAAGAATGGTTAACAACATAAGTGTACAATAGGAAAACGTTTAAAATAATAACTGTGCAATCTTGATGAAATTAAACATGATTTTAAAGATGCTTAATGAGTGAATGTGCTCACAGTAAGGGAGAAAAAAGTATCTAACCAATCATTTAGAATATAACAATTATGTAAATACATACAAATGCAGCAGAGAAAAAAAGAGAAAAAAAACAACGTTAAGAAAAAGCCCCAAAGAATTAATTATAATTGTCTCTGGGTGGTGGAATCACAGAGGATTTAATTTTCATTTTTATATTTTCGTGAGATGTTTTTCTCACCTTATAATAATATACTTTACTCTTAATATCAAAAAACATTAAGCAGTTTTTTTTTTGTGCAGGGAGGTAATTAGGTTTATTTATTTTTTAATGGAGGTACAGGGAATTGAACCCAGGACCTCGTGCATACTAAGCAGGCACTCTACCACCGAGCTATGCCCTCCCTCAGTAGTATTTTTTTTTTTAAATAAAAGATTACACCTCTCCTTTGGCTCTGATCCTGTGGGAAATATCCATTCCATTCACAAATATTTATTGAGAATATATTCTTAGTCCTGAGATACAGAACATCTGTAATAACAATCTCATGACACCTCCTTAAACTCTGTTTTCTGTTTTCTTTGTTAAAGAATTGCCTGTAAAGACTAGAAAAAGCAGGCGCCTGAAGAACGATGAACATCTTTCCCAGAGATCCTCTTCTCCCTCCCTCTGGCCTCTTTCATGTTGTGCAGCCAGGAATAGGACAGCAGGAATGTTATAGGATGTTAAGGATAAACAAAAGCTTGTTTCTTTTTCTTTATTAAAAAAAATTTGTTGTTTGTTTTGTTTGTTTGTTTGTTTTGAGAGGGAGGTAATTAGGTTTATTTATTTTAATGGAGGTACTAGGGATTGAACCCAGGACCTTGCGCATGCTAGGCATGTGCTCTATCACTTGAGCTGTACCCTCCCCCATAAGAGGTTTGTTTCTTAATTAAAAATTTTTTTTTACTTAAAAGTAATGCTCTAAATTAAATTTTAAAAAATACTTCGTGTTTTCACAAATTCATGTATTTTTAACTCTTCACTGAAGGTGTTCTCTAACCACAGTTATGCTTCATTGCTGAGTTATTTTTCAGAGAATCGCTTAAGGATTCTTTAATCCTTTCCATTTTGGATAACCTTGCCCCAATCGGCTGCAGTACTGGAGACTGTTTTTATCATTACCTAACTACTATGTTGCGTCAAGAACACTTAGCAAGTGAGCCAAACAGTTTAACCTTATGAAAAGTTTAAAATACTTCAGGATTTTTAAAAGATCAATGTTAGAAGGGGAAAATAAAAGTAATAATTCACTGAACCAAAGAACTCCAAGAAACAAACTAAAAGCAGTGAAATGATTCTTCTTTTCATTTACATGTCAGTATTTTGAAACAAAAAAAATCCCATCTAGAAATAACCTATATAACCTATCAACAGGGGGTCAGTTAAATAAATCATAGTAGATTCAAAAATAGAAACCTATACAAACATTAAATAATGAAATGGATTACTATGTTTTCACGTAAAGATATCCCAGATAAAAAGTGAAAACACACTGGTGCAGAATACATATACAGTAGGATTACATATTGCATAAAATAAGTGACATACACATATGTGCTTATAAACATATTTCTATAAGGAAACATGTTACTGCTCCCCTCTGAAGAATGGGACTGAGGCAGGGAGTGAGAGAGGGCTTTACTTTAACTTCACATACTTTCTTAAGATATAATTTACATAAGATAAAATCCACCCATTGTAACGTGTACAGTTTGTTCAGTAGATTTTGTGCTGAGTTGTAAGAATTTATTTGGCGCGAGAAACTAAATCCTTCAGATAACCATGCATAAGAATACTTTCACGTCTAAGAAACCTCTGGGCGGGGCGGGTATCAAACATCTAAGCCAGTTCTGTGACAGCAACGACGGTAAGTAACACTCGACCTTCAGATTACGGGCGAAAGGTCAGAACCAGAACATCCCATGACGTTTAACAAAAAAAGAAAAGTAAAAAAAGAAAGAGCTAACAGTGCCAGGGGCAAGGCCAGGGGGAGAATAAGCCACACACAGCTCGATGGATCCTTAGGAGCGGCTGAGACTGGGGCTGGACTTGCCTCTGAAAACCACGTGGTTTCTTTAATCTTTTAACTTCGGACGTGTCCTAACTTCCTAGTTCCTTCCCTCAATAACCTACCTGAAGCTGTCCACGGAGACCAGAACTTTCGGGGAACGGTCGCTCAGCAGCCCGGGGCGACAACTGGGAGATGCTGCACCCCAAACCCTGGACCCGTATCCTCACTTTCCCCGCCAGGGCCCCTCCGCCCACAAATCCCCACCCGGGCGACAGAGCACGGCCACCCCTCCCGCCCGGGCTCCCACCTGTGCCCCGAAGCATATTGTCTCGGAGCAGGTCCCCGCTGGAGAGGTGCTTCAGCTCGAAGTGTTTGGTGATGCGCGAGGACACGGTGCCCTTGCCGGAGCCCGGCGCCCCCATTATCGCTGCACGCAGTAGCCGCGCAGACGCCCCCATGACCGCAAAGAGACGGCCCGGGGCCCTAGCTGCGCGCCGTC